TTGCTGTCAAGGACACCCGCGTGTCTTTTTTTTTTTTTTTTTTTTTTTTATACGCGTACGTAGAGAGAAAGAGGGAAGGGAAGAGAAAGAGCGACGAAGCGTGCGTATATGCGAGTTACGCAAGCCGCGAGACGAGAAGTAATATACGAGAGAAGCCGACGACGACGAAAGGTTGCGAGCGCTCGCGTGCCTGAATTATTTTCGTCGCGCGCGCACGTTTCCGATTGCACAATCGAAGAAAAGTATCGGAGGCCGATTCCGTACTGCATTAACGCAACCTTATACCAACCCCCTCGCTCGCGACTCACGAGCCATATAGGTGCAGAGTGAGCCCAAAGAGAGTGTAAAACCATTCGGTCGTGGCAGGCTGAAAATGAAATATTCACGCCTAGTATTTTGCACACCCATTGAATAACTCATCCACCTACAGCGAGTCAGGAAAAAAAAAAGGATCACTCCAACTCTCTGCAAATGAGCCTAAAGAGGTACTTTGGAGAGTGGGAGAGAACAAAAGGGGGTGTATAACCGAAAGCGAGGCATTTGGCGGTATATATACTTTTGTATTGGCGACGAGTTTTGGAAAAGGATCAGAGCGCCGGTGCTCTTAAAACACGGCTCGTTTGCTCGCGAGTGTATGATAAGCAGTGTGTGTGCCTCCGTAACAATACTCTCGCAACTTTCTCCGTCACTTTCGTTTTCGTTTGCTCGTGGCCTCGCGCGCGTACACACCATCGCGGAGTGTATGTGCACGAAAACGGGCCCGATACACACACGAGGGGGGGCTCTTACTTCAAAATTAGGAAATATGTGCCGTGCGTGCCCACCATACCTATACATTGTACCTGTACACTCTACTATACGGATCTCGATGCTCTCGCATACACCTTTCACTTTTAATTTTGTTTTTCGAAATCATACTTTTGAAAAATACGGGAGCTGTGCCCATAAAGCTTTTACAGTTTAAAGCCTCGCCAGTTTAACACTACACCGTCCTGGGGCGTTTTGTGCTCACCGTAAACGTTCGCGTTTTGCTAAATAGCGCAGTTATCCGTGTTTATCTTGTCAGCAGATGCACGGTACGCAGAGGGAAAAAGAGACCGAAGAAACTATTGCCGATGCACATATATATTATGCACGTGGACAGGAGGCGAAAGAGAAGGGTCGTAGCTGGGGAAGAAAAGACGAGGACGGAGATGAAAAAGCTCGTTGTGCAAGGCGCTCGCGATCGATGAAAATTTGGCTACTCGCTTTGGCACTCGAAATTGGGAAACTAAATTTTGAGGGCGAGAGGTGAAATAAACACATTGTACTCATGATGTAGTTTATGGTTTTTCTTTCTCCTCCTCCCTGAGACACATGTTACACACAGAGAGAGGAGGAGGGACTTTTATTGTTACTCCTTACAACTCCTCGTTTCTTTTGATTCGGCTTATTTTTTTTCTTCTTCTTTCGTCTCTTCACTCATCGTCGCTCCTTTATGTCGGCACACAATAACACACCACGCATATTACTCCTCGCAAAAGTCCTTGGTGCGGGCTTTCCATTTTTTTCTCGTTTAAAAAATAAACACCGCTGCCGATGATACACATTCACAACGATACAGGTATATTATGTGTTACGGTGGGTACACGTAAGTCGGCCCTTACTTCCGCTTACGATCTACACTCGCATACGACACGTACGTATAACACACTTGATTCTCGTCTCGTCCTTATGCGCTATTCACGTGAAAAATTTACATCTAGATACTTAGAGATTACAAATGGGTATACATGCGCCTCTCGGTTTCATCGCTCGTTTTTTTTTTTTTTTTTTTTTTCATTGTACGCAACCATCCATCGTAGTATATTGTGTGGGCAGGTGTGCGCGTCTGTACGAAAGACGCAACGGCTCTATTTACACACGCGACCGCTCGCGAGGGAGATGCGAAAATTAATTATAGCGCCCAAGTATTCTTTCATTACTCTGCCTGGCACTGCAAAAAATGACAAGGAAAAACTGTTTCTCCTCCCATTGTCCATGTTCCAATACATTCTTACGATGTGACCCTTCGTTCGGGTCAATCGGCGTGCAGTTGGCGAAAAAAGAAAGCGCGTGCAGCCGTAGCCTACCCTGTTCCTCCATAGTTTTTGCAACAAAACATGTAAACACTTATAGGTATACGAAGACAGAGAGAGAGAGAGAGAGAGAGAGAGCGAAATATTTTTGCGATAAAAAGAGTACGGAGAAATAGTATACTTTTATACATACATTGTGACGACGAGTACATTGTAAATTTGTCTTTTATCAAAAATTGCGCTGCACCGATTTTGAATTTACTCTTAGGTGTTTTCACTCGGCACAAGCTCTCTTTGATATTGCGCTTGATGATCCGAAAAACATTCCGAGACTCGTGTCTAAATTTATTTATTTATTTTTTTTACAAACCACATCGTGTATGCGCGTTGGGCTGTACTTACTGGCCCATGATCAAGACACTCAAAATAGCTAGATAAATTTCAGGTTTCCAACTTTCTTATTCTTACGTATGACGTTTTACAATTGTATACGATTTGTATCTTTTTCCCCCCCTTTTTCTTTTCTCACTTCGTAAAAGCGTATCCGACTTTCCCGCTGAACTCACAGCTAATAAATACACCACTATCATTCGTACAGATCTTTGAGAGAACTCGATCACACATACCTACACTTTAATTATTATTACTAATACATGTATATTGTCCAATACACAACTGTACATTTTTTTATTCATTTATTTTTTTATTTATTTATTTTTTTTTTCAAGAGAGAGAAACCCGATGTTTTTTCACACTACAAGTTTTTTTTCAGACAAGGTTGTCACGCAAAAAAAAACCCGCACTTTTCGAGGGACTTTTTTTTTTTTTTCTTCGCTCTTGGGTAATTTTACTTTTGACACGAGCTGCAGCCATTCACAAGGCATATGTACACAAATGTATATGTGTATATAGTATACGTGATAGTAAGATACTAGAGAAATCACGTGACGATTTCACACGTTGTATAGTTTAAATTTTTTTGCAATGAAGTAATAGTGCGATGAACAATCGAATGTTGGGTCGAAGTCACGAAACGCGCTGTGCTGTAAATTAATGTTAGCGTTTTTAAAATAAGCGATTCGAGCTTGAAATCATTATTTCCCTCTTATAGGTACAATAGAATTGTTTCACGGCAAAATATTTAGAGTACACGCTACATAGTAGAGTGGCACGAGGCCGCCGCGATATTACGTTTACTTGGGTTAAAAAAAAAAAAAAAATAGAAAAAAAAAAACAGGAAAAAAAGTGTAAACGCAGGAAAAATCGACCTTCGCTTATTACCGCTCTATGGCTTTATTCACACGAGATTAATGACTATTCCCATTTATATTATCTATTATTTATTTATTTATTTATTTATCGCGCGAATTAATTGAGAGATAACAAACAACAAAATACCATTGACGTAACAAATCGCTTGGCAATTAAAATAACAAGGTGATAGTATTATTTTGATTGAACCGTTTCTTTTTTTTCTTTCTTTTCCTTCAGTAGGTACTTGACGTAATAGTCGAGTCAAGCAAATGTGGATGTGAATAGCAAAGTATGTGACCAAATCTGCCACGGACGCAGAGGAACATGACACATTGAAAATATCCATACGCTGATTACATAATACCCATACATCGTACAAATTCGTGTATAAAGACTTAGACCTACTTTCCACGACGCAGGAAAGAGCAGTGCCCATTGGTATTTAACGTGTATTACTTAATAGTGAATCACATTGAAAAAAGGTGTTTCAGTAGGAAAAACATACACAAAAGCTTTCCTCTCTTCTAGAAACAAGTATACCTTTGTTGCACTTTTATGAACTATTTACATCGTCTCCTTGATTCGTTCGACTAGATTTTACGAAAGATAAATCATCAATTACATTGAATCGATTGCTAAGTAACGAACCGTCAATAAACATACGCCAGTGTATAATAAAAATATATGTATATATATATATATAAATCTCGAAACGGCATTGCCTGCGCGTATACAGGTGTACAATGGTATTTATATAATATAGACTAGTTGCTTTAGCGTCGGGCGCGCATTAAGTGCACCCGCGCGTTAAAGCGGATCGCATTGAGTGAGCCAAACAAGAGGGAAGCGAGGGAAAATACACTTGTACGCGAAACTTGTAAGCTGCTTTCGCGTTCGCGGGCGAGCTTGCTTGTGATCTCCGATTCAATTCGGTCTTTGGCCTTCTTTGCGTTTTATTCCTGCGCCTCTTTTACTTTGGCGCGAGCTTTTCGTCATTTCCCTTTTCCATCCTACCCCCCCCCCCCTTTTTTTCGCTTTCCCAACTCGTTTTTCATTCCGAGCTCTGCCTTGCCCCCTTGGCTTTGAATCACGTGCTCTTTGATAAGGCGGGATCCACGAATGAGGGTGATTTCTTTTGATTTGTGAGTTTGTGCGTGAGAAACTTTTGATTTCCTTCAAAGTTCATTCGGACTCGGTGTTTTTCAAGCACCGGAGGAAAAGCAAGCCGAAACGTACTTGAAAAAGTTGCTGGGACCGCGTTGTAATGCGCGCCCAAAGTCATTTGCCCTTTGGCCCATGGAAAGCAAAAGCAAAAGCAATAAAAAAAAAACATGGGAGAAAGAAAGTTAATTAAAAAAATGTTCCTCCAACTTTTTCCCGGCTCGCAAGCGCAGTAGCAAAGCATACAGTTATAGCGGATCGCGGTGAGCCGTACTCTAGTCCGGCGTCTTCTCATTTAACCTCACCAAGTATCATCATCATCATCATCATCATCGACATACAGCGCATTAGTAACACTTGCACCACTTGTGTGTGTATACCCACCATCACTTAGCACCTACGTATTAACTCGATAAACCTATACACGCAAAAGAGTCGGTAATCCTCGTCCATTGGCTATACACATCTCGAACGAGGGAAGGAAAAAAAAAAAAAAAAATTCCATCGCACGGCGTTCGATCGCGTCGTTTAGATGTATCCCCCGAGGGCGTCGTAGAACTCCTGAAGGTAGGCGAGCAGTTGGGGCATGGTGGGTCGGTCACGCGCCGGGCCCAACCAGCAGACGGCCATCACGGCGAAGAGCTCGTCGGGACAGGGTCGGGGCTGGGCGAGTCGATAGCCGTCCCGCAGGCACGCTGCCAGCTCGAATGGATCCACTTCGGCGTACGGCTGCTGACCCATCGTCGCCAGCTCCCACAGGAACACACCGAACGACCACTACGAAACAACCATGGTTTTTTTTTTTTTCTTTCATTTTTTTCTACAGAAATACGAGTCATCCGCATACATTCTCCGGAGCGAAAAGTCGCACTGTCTCGCCGGCTGCTTAGCAGCTGTCCGAAAATAACTTTGTTTTTCGTCCGTCTAATCTCGCGCGAGAAAGGAAGCGCTAATGGGCGTCAAGGATGCGAGACGAACGCGGGGTGGAGGTGAATACGAATGGATGCTCTCGGGTGTATGAAAAATGAGTTTTTGCCTTACCGCGTCGCTGGCCGTGCTGTACTGGCCGAGTTGCAGCGATTCCAAGGACATCCAGCCGATGGGCCTGTTGTCGTTGTCGCCCAGGCAATGGTAATCCTGGGGGAAGAGGTCGCGCGACAGTGCCGCGTCCGCCAGTCTGGTGCGCAAACTGCTCGTGTCCACCAGGCAATTACGCGTCGCTATGTCTCTGTAGAATTTTTTTATTTTTTATTAGTTTTTCATTTGATAAAATTCTCTAAAATTGAATTTATTTTAATCGCCGTGGCGTTTATTGTTAATATATTTAATTTTTTTTTTTTTGCAAATAATTCAGAGTCATTGAGAGTCCGTCGAGTTGACAAATAATTTTTTTTTTTCCTAATAAAATAATCAAAAAATTCATTTCACCTGTGCAGGATTCCCCGGCCGTGCAAGAAAGCTCCAGCCCTCGCCACCTGCACGGCGATGTTGACAAGATCCCGCGTCACCGGATGATTCTTGCCGTCGGTAAGGTAGGTCTTGAGATTGAGGTCGCTCGGCGTGCAGGCGTAGGCCAGCATGGGCGCGGTGCTATCGAGGCAGGAAGCCGCCAGCGACGCCACGTTCCCGTGCACCAGACCAGCCAGCTGCGCTCCCTCCACCACCAGGAGGGACGTCTGGTAGGCCGAGGCTGCGTCTAAAGTAATGGTTAGTTTGTTTATTTATTTATTTATTTATTTATCTAGTTTTTGTCAAACGATTGCCAACTGATCGATTACAGGTAAGGTCGATCGCCACTGTATCTCTGGAAGATCGGCAGACCGCGATCTATACATCCGTTTGCGATTCAATTTTTTTTTACCCGACGTGATTACACGTTCGTACAATTTTGTTCATCCATATCGTGCAAAATAATCCAATTAAACTACTCACAGAAGCCAAACAATTAAAATGTTTCGTAGACGCGCAGCAAAAATAATAACAAAAATTAATCGTCTCCGTCGCAGGTACGTAGCGCGCAATGTGTATTATACGCTCGCGGATCCTCAAATTCCGTAATATTAATTGCCACCACGCAGTTAGGGCAAAGTTATTACAGCTTAGCCCGCAGCATTATTAGTTTCCGGCCGTATAGTTACAGGTACGAGGAGGAGGAAGGTGTAGAGATGAAGTCGAGGGTTGGTGGTGGGTGGTGTCGGAAATTTCTATGGCACCACCGAGAGAGATGTGCTGTGTGGCGTGTTGCGCGAAAGTTAAATTAATTCGCTGGCTACGCCCGGTGCTCGAGCCGACAGCCAGCGCGTTTACCTGTGACTGTCTTTATGATGACTTCCTGCTCCCTGCCGGCCTGGCTCAGGGTGCCCCGATAGATCCTGCCAAAGGTACCCTCTTGCACGACGCTCCGACACTGCATCGCGGCCCGAGGCACTATTACCGCTCGTGCCTTCTCGCACGGGTCCGTCGCCTGAAACAGAGTGCGCACAATAAATATGTACATTTATTTATCATTGTTTTTTTTCCATCGTTAAAAATAAGACACCATATTCATCGTCAAATTCTCATTCTTTCTCCTTCCTGCCTCACTTTCGGCGTTTCTCGTCTCTCGGTATATTTTTCCTCATTAAACCCAAAAAGTCGCTAATCGGAGGGAGAAAGCCACGAGTCCTTTCTCGCAATTTATAAATATAAACACGTCGCCGGTGTCCTCGCGTTTCTCAAAAGTCACCCGGAAATGAAGAGAGAGAGAGAGAGGAGAGCCACAGCCCGGAGGCGCATCGTGAAAAATGAGGGCTAAACAACAGGGGGGGGGGGCTTCTTCGAGGAGGCGGGTCCAGCTATTAAGGGTGGCGAGACGTGTAAGCATGAAAAATTCGCGCGCGATCGTTCTTCATGAGGCCCGAGCGAACGTACAGCCTCCGGCACTCCTTCGCTCTTTCACGCGGTCAGATTCTTGCGGGCTCGCGCACCCCCTTCCCCGTAGCTTTGACGATATCCAGCTGCCACCGCGCACCTCTCGAGCGAAGCACCTTTTTTTTCGCCTCTAGCCTTTGCCGCTGCTCTCTTTCACCCCTCCCCTTTTTTTTTCAAATGCCGTCCTCCCTCGTTTCCAGTTCGTCTCGTTCTCGCGTATATTTTTCGGGCTCCGTGTATAAGCGCAAATACATCCCTCCCCAGTAGCGATTTTATGACGCAGCCAGGCGATCGAGCGTTACGCGCTCGTTGCCACAGTACCACCCAGGCCGTTCATTAATTTCAATTTTACGGAGTTTTGCACTCTCTCTCCCTCTGTCTCCCTTCGCGGCGACTCCCCACGCTCGTTTCCGCATCCCCGGTTCCTGTGTGCCGTGTACCTTTATCGCTCGCGTCGCGCGCCTTTTCGGATTCATTATTATCACTATTATTTCCCCCCTTTATTATCATTATGCGGGGATTATGCGATTTCGTTCGCGAGCTGGGGTCCTTGTTCGCTTTCGAATGGCTCTGCCAGTGTCGTTATGGGGGTTATGGTATTGTAAAACGCAGTTGAGTTTTGTCGGCTTGCGGTTCTTTACCGATTGTTGGATTTTTTTTTTTTGAAAAGTCACGAAAATGGTTTTGTAGAGTTTATGGAAATCAGCTTGGTTTTCATTGATGATACTTGAACGAAACGATGCAAAATAAATCATAATAAATACTCTAAAGTGATAAAACATGTGTCATGTCTATTGTGAAAGCACCCCAAATAAATTGTGACAGGAAAAACCATTTCCTGATGTATGCAAGGAGTATAGCTCAAAATTGCGCCAGACGCGCTAATAATTCTAAAGATAAAGCAACTGTATTCATTTGTCAAGCCTATGCTATGCAACTTAAAAAAAAAATAGTGATGGGTAAAACATTTACCGAACTTGCAAGTAGTGTAGCTCAAAATTGCGTCAGACTCTTTGAATGTAATGCAATTGTATACATTTGTCATGTCTACGCTATGCAACTTAAAAAATTAATGATGGAACAAATATTTACTGATGTATGCAAGTAGCATAGCTCAAAATTGCGTCAGACGTGCTAATAAATCAAAAGACAAAGCAACTGTATACATTTGTCAAGCCTATGCTATGCAACTTAAAAAAAAATAGTGATGGGAAAAAAATTTACCGAACTTGCAAGTAGTACAGCTCAAAATTGCGTCAGACGTGCTAATAAATCTAAAGACAAAGCAACTGTGTACATTTGTCAAGCCTATGCTATGCAACTTAAAAAATTAATGATGGAACAAATGTTTACTGATGTATGCAAGTAGTATAGCTCAAAATTGGGTCAGACGCTTTGAATGTAATGCAATTGTATAAATTTGTCACATGTATGCTGTGCAACTTAAAAAAAATAGTGATGGAAAAAAACGTTTACCGAACTTGCAAGTAGTACAGCTCAAAACTACGTCAGACGCTTTGAATGTAATGCAATTGTATACATTTGTCACGTCTAAAAAACGTCAACCATCCAATAAAAACAAACAACCATACGGGTAGTAAGAAATCACGTCAGGCTCGGTGATAAACATCAAGTATAGCATCCCGGTTTCAGTGAGCCGTGCGAAAATAATCCTCTCGGCGGTGCACACCCCGTTCCGAGCAAAGTCAACAATGAACTTGCTCGACGCAAAACTTTCGGCTCGCGATTATTCTCCAAGTCCACGCCGGGGAAAAAAAAATCCCCGTGCAAACAAGCCATGCATCACGTCCCCGCATCGGTGAACGCATGACCGGTAATTCCCAAAACAAACAACGCGCCCCTGCTCGCCCCCGAGTATTATCATACGCTCGCGGTATGTATACGCCACCGGTCCATATTTCAGTGAGCGTTTTCAACCCCCGAAGTTTCGCGCACGCACCAAGGGACGCGCTCGCATTTATAACGAATAGCCCGAAAAATTGAATTCGAATCACTGTCCCCGCTCCCACGCGGAGCGAATGACATTTCGGTCCTCCCTTCGCTCCCGGCTTTTTCCTTCCACTTTACGCGGTTAGGTGTGCACCCCCGTGCAACTAGTGTAGTGTCGTTTTATTTATGACGGACGCGCGTGTCGTTCCGCGTGCTAAAGTGATTTGAAATGACAAAAGGCCGGTGTATCCTTTTTTTCCAGCCCGTGGTGCTCGGAGCACGAAATTCCGGCGATTTATCGTCGAGGTGGTGCATTTTTTCCCATCTCTTTCGCAAATGTGAGCTCCAGAGCGGGACGTATACAATTATTCTCACCCAAAAGTTCGCAGATCCGTTGGACCAAGGCGTGACACCGACGACTCGTGCACAACCGAGCCGAAGAAACTTTCTCACGCGGCCGGCAGAACGCGAGTGCAGCGACGCAATAAATTGCCCGAAGCCACCCCCGGAGCCCGAGTAATCAAGAGCTTCCGTACGCGTGTACACGTGCGCGTTCGCACAAGCAACAACGGAGAAACTTATGCATTAATCCGGCGTTGGGAAAAAGATGAAGGATCAAAAGGCGGCAGGAGGGGGGGGAGCAAAGTAGATGGGATCGTGGACTCTATAGCTGTTAGCCTCGCTCCTCCGTCCCGGGGGAGGAGGGCGCTCGGGGGATGGATGAGGAACCGGGAGATCCACGCCAGCTTACACACACGGTTGGCTTCCGCCTCTTCTTATTTTTCATCTTCTTTCCTGCTTCTCTAAAACGCTGTATGATATAACGCTGGCGCCTAAGTGTGTGCTCGCGCGCGCTTCTCTCGGAGAGATCGAGCCAAGACGAGTCGGGAAAGCCGGCCCGAGGATGTAGGTGAATAAATGAAGACGCGAAATGTACTTGTATTTTTTATGCAGAACGGCAGACTCTATAGGAAAGAAGAGGAGTCTGCACCGCGAGCGTATTAACCAAATGCACCTGTATACTTTCGGAGTACGGCTTTTACTGGCTTATTCGTACATTGTATGGCTGTTTTGTGCACAAGTGATCGATAAAGGTGTTGGATGGGGAGGATGTACTTCTCACCACGACTTCTTGTACGATGAATCGGGCATCGAGAGAGACACATCGGAGGGAACTTTCAGTTGGATCAAGTTACCGTGCATATTACACGGGGGAGGGTGAATTCCGTACTTTGATGTTTTTTCTCGGGAGTTTTATCGTCTCGGGGCTTTTTTTTCTCCTTCGTTTGTTCGCAAGGATGCCTGGCGAAACGCAAACTCACCCTCTTTTGCCCGAGAAGTGTAGAGGGAGCTTCAAGCTCCGCTGAATCATATTTATTATACGTACTCGTAAAAGGCCATGATTTCACCCTCCTATCGTAATCGCGAGTTATGCGCTTGTATTTGCTTGGTAATGTTCACAGAAACAAAAAGCCTTCGAGACGCGCAATTTATGAAATGTCATTTTCAATGCCAAACAACTTTGTCGATCGACTCGCAATCAGTTGCAGCGCTGCCAATCCATACCTAACGACATCCCGTAAGCCCCTGCTTCCAACGGAGCCAGTCCTAAAGCCCCGAACGTGCGCCCTGACAGCTAATAACGCGCCGGAAAGGAAAAAAAATTCATAGCCCCATCGTTGGAAAGAAGAAAAAAAAAGAAATACAATTTATGCTCGCTCGATAGAGTTTGCTAGCGCACGCAGATAAACACACGGGAGATGGAGAGAGTAAAAGTAATAAAAGGCAAATGGTCGGTGGAGCAGCTGAAAAGCGAGAGTGAAAGTGACGGGAGGTACGAGAAGGGGTACTGCTGCAGTAGGCAGGAGGGGTCACCCCATCCCCCGTGATTGTTTTGGCTTTGATCTCGGATCAATTTGCTGGTTAGACGCGCGGAGCGTTTACGGCGTGGGCCTACTCGTTCCGTCTCGCCCTCCGGTCCTTGACGACGCGTCGTTTCCAGAGAGACAGGAAGGAAACCCGAGATGCCTACCGGGGGAGCGATCCCTCCCTTGCGCATGTACAGCCGGAGGAACGACGCGCGGAGCTTGCAGGCAGACGAGAATATAAATGTATATGCCCAAGAAGGTGCGTGCAGGCACGCGCGAGGTGCGAGGAAAAAAAAAAAAAAAAAAGACAACACAAAATCCCTCCTCCTTGTATGTCTCTCGCCGAGTTGTAGGCTTACGAGAGAGCACCGCTTGTTTGGCGAAATCTTCCCCGATCTTCCGATGAATATTCAATGCTCCTGAGCGAGGGGAGCTCTTGTCGCTCGCTTCCACACTACGGTTCGCCGACGCGAGAAGTGTGCTCTGAGAAAATGCTTGCGTGCGCTCGGAATAACAATATCAGGGGTGGGAGGGAGGGGTGATTTTTTTGAGAAAACATGATTTTAACGTAATACGCGTGTAAGTACTCCGTCGAAGCGAAGCTCGAAAGAGCTTGTCGTTTGATTTTGAAAAGTAAAAATTTGGCTCGCCAACGTAGGGAGGTAGGGAGAAAAGAAAACACCATTTGGATCGGTCGATTACTTTGGCTGTGCGTTCCGTGCGTGTACACGCGTATGGCGTTAATATTGCATGGATTCGCCGCACGGCCAAAAGAGGGTGGAAAGAGAGAGAGAGAGAGATAGAGAGGGGTGGGGGGTATCTAGGTAATGCAGAGATAGAGCTATATATACGGAAGAGCGCTTTCGATAAAAGCCAACGCGCGCGTATTCTTTTTCTCCCCGTATCTCTGTTTCCCCCGGTACACGTACGGCTGTTTGCCCGCGTAAAACGATACGCTTGACAATTCACCCAGAGCTTCTCTCTCTCTCTCTCTCTCCATCGCCAGCCAGTTATTACGTCACTTTTATTGCAAGAGCGAGCGGAACTACAGAGAGAGAACCCGAGATGTGCTTTGCTTCGGCTCCTCGTCCCCTTTTTCCTCCCCCCGGCTTGGTTTTACTTTGGAGAAGAAGAGACGAGTGCTATATGCGCCAAGGAGGAGGCGGGGCATTGAAACTTCTCGTGTTTCGCGTACGAGAAATCACTCTCTCGGAAAAGTATAAGTAATGGGGTGACGCGCGTTCGTGCGTCTCGTTATTTTCCTATAATCATCGGGAGAGTAAACGTATCTCGTTATCGCCGAGTATATATATGTATATATATATATGTGTGACTGGTAAGCGCATACACGCTGTTAATTATACAGAGCCTTCGTGGCAGGAGATGATGCTAAGCAGAGCCGACGACGACTTTACACGGCTCGCTGGAGCGCAATTACGGAAATTGTAATTTCGACCTGCTCCTCTCCCTCTCGAGTGCGTGTGTGGCAAATAAGTATATAGATAGCTAACTTTGGAACACCTCACGTTTTGTGTCGAATATTTGCAGAGCAATAACGTCATCTTTGGGTTTCTCCAAAAATACCCCAGGGGCTGAGTATCAATTCGAAGGAAGGAGAAAAAAAATCGCAGCCGCGGTATTTGCTACTATGAAAGACTTGTCCCGGCAGTCGTAGTACCATCTCGGTAATTCCCCAATAATCGTCGTCGCACGTAGCCCGAGGAAATAGCAGCGGAGCCACGCGCAACAGTTCGGTCACGTATCATTCGAGCGCTGAAAATCCACCCTCCCTTTTCTTTCTCAACTCGTTCCTCCTCCTCGCCCCCCGTCCTCGATCTGAGCTCTCGAGTGTACATAGTCCTCAGCTGTGTCTCCGAGCAGCTAGTTAAGGCGAAAGGACTGACTTCAATCCGATTTTCTTGCGACTCTGGCAACGTTTTCTCGCTTTCCCTGTAGTAACTACGTCCCCCCCGTAGGTGTTACGACCACCGGCTCTCTTTTTGTTGTCACGCGCGCCCGGTATGGACCAGGTCCATTTCCTACTCCCGCTCTCCGACTTTTTCTCATCTCGTTTTTTTTTTTTTTTTTTTTTCTTTTTTTTTTCGACCACCTCCTACCCTCGTTACTTTCACGGGGCTGAATAAACGTTATATGGGTACGTATACCTACGGACCCAACGATGATCGTGCGAGCGCGGGATCCTCGAATTTCGTTGTCTTGCCTGTTTATCGTTCCTCCCCGACGGTCCTCCCATCAATGAAATTGCGGCAACAACATTTATTTTATCGCCACCGTGGCTGGCCGTTTTCCCCCAAAAGCAAATTTACCCACCTATCGTTCGCGGAGGGGTAGTGTACGTGCACGGGCGTCGGAGAGACGGGGAGTTAAATCTGCACTCGGTCCGCATTTCATGTAGCAAATTATAAGAGACTATACAGCTATGCTCGAGCACGAGGATAAGTTGATAACAACATCGCCCCGCTCGCAGTTGCAAAAGCGAACTCGTTAAGCAACTCTAATTATGTCACACGGCGCTCTCCGAACTCGTCCGCGGGCCGGCAGCTATTAAACTCGATTTAATCCGGTGAGCGTCCAGCACCGGCTCACTTGTGTACGTACGGCTGCCAAATATCGCGGATGAAACTTTCCGACCCCTTTCGTACCCCTCCAAGTATATTACGTACATTATGTTACGCTTCCCAGCGTAGTGGTTTTTTTTGTTTCCTTTTGCATCGCCAAAGAGTTCCTGTCGTCTCCTCGACCGGTTCTGTAGCTCAACAGTCCGCGGCCATTGTCTTGCAGTCGCTTCTCTCGGTTCCTGCGCGCTATCTGCGCTCCTCGGTGAAAGTTTATCGAGTTTGCGGCCGAGAAAGCCGCTTCCCAGCGACAACTTTGGCCGGGTCTCTTTCATCCCCCCCCCCCACCCACTTTAACCGGTCGGTTCTCAATGCTATGCTTTCATGGCTGGCCACTTGTACCCCGTACACCACTATCCACGCGGAAGAGACGAGGGGGCCGCTTGCCCTTTTCAACTTTGCTCCCTCGCTCCGCGGCGCCCGCTTGACCTCCGAGCTTTTCCCTCCATCTGTCCGCCGGTTTGATTCTCCACTGGATTCTGTTGCTCTATTTTTTGCTGTTTCGTTTTATTCCTTTTTTTTCAGAGGCAGCGGAAGGACTCTATGGTCGCCTCCCTGGGCTCTGCCTGGATTTTTTGTTTCCTTGTCCGTTTGTATATGTCCAAAGCTAGGATAAGCCTGTACGTATACGTTCGGGATGTACGAGCGACGAAATGATTTTTTTCGTCCACGGCGAAGGCAGGGTGGTGGAAAAATATGTCGTTCCAGACGAGACGTCCGGTGGGAGCACCTATCCTTCGGGTAAACATAATTCCTAGGAGCAGCACGCGAGACTCGCGTCGATTAGACGGATTATACCACTTTGGCGACAGTCCAGTTTTCTCTCGTGCCTCGTCGTCCCCTTGCCAGAGGGTTGCTCTTCCCTCATGATCCACCCGAGGTATATGGAAAACAGAGCGTCGAATAATCGGTTGCTGTTGCGGGGCTTTTCTCGCCCGCGAACTGCCTGGGAATTGCCCAGCAGCGGTGCCAAAAATCTACTGCTCCACGAGAGGATTTGCGCGCGAGTTAAAACGAGGATTACCAAGGGTGGCCAGGAGCGGTTAATAATTCTCTCGTTTCTTGGGTTTTTTTTTTTTTATTTTCCTTGGGTGGTGCACGACTGCCTTGCTCCTTAACCAGAGCCAAAATGATTGTGAAACTGGCTCGTCGTACTTGATTGAGTGTTGAGACCATGTCGAGCACAGTACAACTGAATTTTTTTTTTCCATATCAGAACCTAATGATTTGCAAATCAGAACGGTTTTATTGAGGTGACAGAAAAATATTCCCCCGAAGAGTAGAATCGAGGAAAAAGAAAAAAAAATTATATCGCGACGACGCGGTAAATACGAGCTACAAGACTCGATAAGCCATATAGATTAGCACGCGACACCATATCTGCAACAGTAAGAACAAGAACTGTCGAGAATTAAGATTAACCGCTGCTAATACTCGCTCGTAAGCCTCCCTCCGCTATACGTATATTATATACGTATACTATTCATATCAGGGATCCTCCCAAGTTTCGGTCTGCCGCGCACTTCGATCTCGAAAGCTCCTCCACCCATCGGTATCCCTCGTCCTAATCTGCGAAACACGAACTACCCTCGACTCGATAACCCACCCCCTACCTGTACAGGGAATTCCCTCGAGCGCATTCTCCTCGTGGCTGTTTGCAGCACGAGTGTAATATACATGGACAGGTGCGTGTATACAAGACAATCGCTGCACATTCAAGCCCGGCGTCTCGAGTGTATAAGGTACTCACCTGGCTCAAGTGGGTCACGTGGCTAGCGGCGTAGTAGCTGGCCCTGGAGCCGCAAGGTCGGGCGTACAGAGGCTCGAGGTCGGCTATGGTGGCGTAGCTCCCGGAATTTGCGCTGCCCGGCCGGTTGTCCACCTTCACGAGGACCGAGCTGGCGGCCAACCCGTTCGCTCCCGCTGCGGAGTAACTGCAACACGCCAGGCTCTTCCTGTTGAACAGAGCTTCGTTAGTGGTGCCTATTTTGAATACATACACATACGTATATATAAATATATATATATATATATATACTTGTTTACATTTGCATTTTTTGTGCTTTTCGATATTTTATCACGCGTATTTTTATGATCATTTTAATTAGTATATTTTTTTCGTTTTAATTAACTCCCTGATGACGAGTCGTCCTTCGTTAATGACAAGCTTTTCGGCAGGAAAATTAAGCGACAAGTTCAAAGGTAACCCTGTAACGAGCGCGAAAAATCAAAACGAACAGGAGAGCGTAGTCTCGTTAAGATGAACATTTTTTTTCTTCCCCTATACAATTTACTCCAATCAACTTGAATTCCTCGTAGTCGACTTACCCTATACTGTTTTTCGAAAAAGATACGTGTGCGAATTTCTTTTTCCCTTCTAATTACGTTGTCGTCAAATTGAAATGTACATGTGGTCCTTTAGTGACGTATCGGTAATTTGGTTCGAAAAAAAGAGAGAGCACTTTTTTCGCGTCCGAATCAATGATCAGCGCCGCATTTGGACGTGATTTCCAGGCGTGTCCAATTATGCTGCGATCATCCCCTGCCCGGCCCCTCGCCAATTTCAGCTTAGAGTGGTAAAATTATTCGGAAAGTCCCCCCGCCTCCTCTCTTTGACAGGCGACGCGTATCCCCGAGCATGTACATATGTCGCGTGTTTGAAGCACAACGACACGTAGAGAAAAAAAAAAAAAAAAAAAAAAAAAAAAAAGGAGGAACAGGAAAACGACGAGGGGGTCCAAGAGCGAGCGACATTCGATCGAGTGGCTTTGGCAAGTGCGGAATAATTTGTCGATCTCCCTCGTTTCGTATACGAATACATTATTTTCGGGTTGTCATGCCACCGTACGACCACGATTCTTAGCCTCTTCGCCTCTTCTCCTTCGTGTCTCGTACGCGTTTGTACACACCAGTACAGTGAGCACCCCAATCTCCTCCGCGAGAACACGCGTTATTAGGGGAGTTGGGAGTGTAACGGTATAGGCCTACACGGGCCAAAAGACAGCTAATACATCCCCGGAGAGACGACGGTCCATGGCGAACACTTGCAATAGCTCTCGTTTTCTCATTTTTCATCCCATTAGGATTCTATCTGGCGGGAGGGGCTTTCTTATCCCTCGTTCGTTTCATCTCGCCGTAGACGCGCGCGAAGCCAGCGATTGTTTTTCCAAGCTGTTATTTCCAGCTCGAATGAACTTCCGCTCGAATACTCCTTTGATTTTCCAATTTTCAACTACACGTTGGAAACGAAACAAGTTCCCAAAGACTCACCCGGTATGCGTTTCGTTCGTGACTGCGGGCCCATGTTACCCCAATCGGAGCAACATCTCCGCATCCCCCTCTCCGTCTTCCCTTGATCTTTGGTACGTACATACACGGAATATCGTCTTCTCGATCCCCCCCTTGGCTCGACCGGGCGCCCTCTCTTTTTCACCCCAAGGCGCTCTCTTGCTCTCCTTTGCCCCAATGACGTCTCCAAAGAAGCCACGGCGGCGTGTAATAGTACGCGAAGGGATCGAGCCGCCGCCAATCGAGCGCCGGATCGCCGCGCTTATTGAAAAAGATACTCCCAAAGAGCGACGTCAACTCACTTCCTTCCTCCCTTACCCCCTTTTTTTTTTCTTCCTCGCCATATCCGTGCGCGTGCGATTCTCTCCCGTTCATCCTTCCCTTACCCTACGGAATTTTTCTCTCTCTCTCTATGTCGTAAAAGTCTAGTAGTGGCAACAGAAAGAGTACCGATTTACTTCCTCCCTCTCTTTTCTCTCGATTCGTGCCCCCCTCCTTTCTCTTTTGAAAGAGCCCCCCCCCCCGGTGAAGGATCCTTTCGAGGAGAGAGTAGTACCACACTAGCCCTTACATACGCACGGAAGAGTTTTTGCGCGCGACCTCGTTTCGGGAGGGTGTAGCTCTTCGAGAGCTTGTTGCGCAAAAAGCGCTCGAGTGGTGCAGCTATCTGGCCGAGATAAAGGTCGCTCGAGCGGAAGGGCTGCTCTGAAAACATGTACGTACGGACAGCTTTTCTGATTACTATTATTATTGTTGTTGTTATTGCAAGGAGGACTGTTGGATTAAAAAGGTCATTTGTGATATGGATTCGATTTTTTTTTTTTTTTTTTTTCCCACTATTGTTTGTTTAATCGATATTTTTCATTTCGTCCCAACACCGAATTACCAAAGTACGCGAATACGTACACACATATCAAGCGAGCAGTATAAAAGTCATTTGCATCTTTATGAGTCAGAAGGGGGTGCACGCTGTATATCCAGCATCAAGTTTTACGCGAAAAGTTCGTTAAAACGTGATTAACCTGTCCGAGAAAATGCGGGGGGTGGCGGAGGGACGAGCGGAAATAACAACTGTACTCGCGAGCGCGCATTTGCATGGAAATATACATTTTTCAATCGCCGAATTGAATGAACCCACACGCGTCCCGGTGTGGCACTTAAAATCCAATCTAAATTGTAATGGCCCACTTGCGGGCGACGAGAGTCGTCTACTGGAAATAGTCATCGAGGGTCATTATAGACGTTGCTTGTACACGTACGTGGTACAGGAGCTTATCTTAAGGAGCTTTTTTTAAGAAAAAAAAAAAAAAGATTCTCACCTCGGGTGCTGCGAGCGAGCCTTGCTGTTGCGAATGTAGATGATGCTGGCGACGCCGACGACGACCAAGATAAGGGCACAGGCACACGTGGCTGCTACGTAGAAGGCGTGGTTGCCGTTCGCCAGGGGCCCAGCCTCTAGCTTCACCGAGTCGTTCTTCGACTGCGTCCGGATGCCTGTGAAAATCATCGTTCGAGTTTATGACGTCGACCCTCGTTTGTAGACTAATAACTTAGATTACTTTCCCTCCATGTACTCAAGATACGTCGCGGCACATTTTTGGCGATATGAAAAAAAAAAAAAAAGAGTATGATATATGATGTTGGTAGGGTAAAAAAAAAAAAAAAAAAAAAAAGAAGATAGGGAAATTCGTCGCACACGAGACTCACGCCTATTGTTCTTTTATGTAAATTTTTACGAGTGGGCTGCGTTGAGTTCTAGGAAAAATTGCGAGCCCCTCGTAAAAGACGTTCCCTCCTCCCCCGAGATGGAGAGAATGATGTTTGCCAAGTGACATCATTACCGAAAAAGAAAGAAGACCTTGCGAGGAGGAGAGCAAAAAAAAAAAAAAAAAAACAAAAGCAAGTCCAAGGACCGAGCGTCTTTTCGCTGCGAAAAAGCATGAAACCTTGGGCGGCGAGTCTCCCCAAAGTCCCTTTACCACCTGCAGCAGCGCGTAAAAGGGCAAATCCAAAAGAAAAAGGGAGAAAAGTAAAATAGAGGAACGATCTAAATCGCCTTGGAATACATAAGCTAGGATAAGAGGAAGGGGAGAAAAAGTTTGGCGTGCGGGGTGCTTGTGCCGCGTCGTGGTGCACCTTTGTCCGGTGGCGATGGATTTTTTTTCGTCGTGCAGCACCAGCAGTATCGTATACGTATACACCGGGCCCGAGGCAAAGGACGGAACTCAAAGACTTTTCCTCGCGCCTAACGAGTTCCGCGCCAGAGCGATATTCTACGCCATTCTTCCTCCCCCCTTCCCTCGGCCTTCTTTGCCATACCCAGAACCTGGGCTCCCTACTCTTTATCGAGCTTGTTTTTTTTTTTTTTACCTCTTCGTAGCACCTTGCACTCCTGCCTAAAAAATGTAAACTCGTGCGCAGTTGTCTTTTTTTTTTCCCTCCTCCCTTTATATCTAAACAACCCAAGCCAAATGAAGCGTCTCGCGAGAAAACGACGATTTCGGTATAATTATTTTTAACAGGAACGGCGAAACTGTTTGCGCCTATAGCGACGCTTTTTACTATTGTTCCAAAGTATTTTTTACTCCTCATTTTTAAACGAATGAATCGCATCCTTGCGAGAACCAATAAATCGGAGAATAATAACGAGGACCAAAAATATAAATACAAGGTTTGACGGATGAGGTAACAAGGTAACAATAGAAAGATAAATCGCGTCTCTTGCAGGTATACGTAAATATATATTGTGTTCGGTACGTTCAAAGCAACAGCTGCTTTTCTGCAATTCGCTTCATCAAAAAAAAGAGTACCTACTTGTAAAGTGCCCCTCGTGTGTCGCATCCGCTGACTTTCGGCCTCTTGTAAGGTGCTGCACGTAAAACACGAACGCGACGACTCCCAACGAGCACGGCAACAAACTGCATAGGAAAAAGCGAGAAGTCCACAGAGGTACACAATTTTCTGAACATAGAGTTTCAAAAAGCGCCTGAAACTCGATTTTAATGCAACCCCCCGCTGAGGTGCACATTCGCTCGAAAGACCACCACCACCACCAGCGCGACGGAGTCGATAAATTTTAGATTGGCAGCGCCTTTCCACTTCGATACGCCCGCCCAGGGGATAAAGAAAAGAAGAAACAACGCCGCACAAAGGAAAAGTGTATGGTAAGTGGGCGAAAACGGTGTTATTAATTTTCCCCCGCGCATATAGAGGCACGGCCAACCCCTTTGAGCCCCTCCCCCCCTCCTGGGCTACGCCTCGAGAGACCGAAGGCTCTCTTTATCGCGAGCATTTTTTTCCCCCTGTCGAGCACCCCCGGCTTTCCTTGGCTCCGTATGCGTGTGTACCTGTGTAAGCCGGCTGAATTTCTCGATCGAGTAAATAACTCGTATTCGCACCGGCGAGCCAGATGAGGCGGTAGAGGTGGAGGAAGGGGCGGGATGGAAAATGTAAGAGGTGTACGGAGGGCCAGAAGAGCGGATTCGGGTCGGGAATGTATACGCTGTTCCGGAGGAAGGGCTTGCCCGAGAGGTTAAATGTATAAATCGCCGCAGGATCATGCAGCTCCGGCCGTGCAGCAAAAAGAAGAGGGGGGGGGAGGTACTCCTCTTCCGTACTTAGCCTCGAGCTTTCTACTTAAAAGCCCGTCCGTGGGACCCAGGCCTCGAGCGATGGGGGCTTTTTCCGCGCCTCTACCGACGAATTATGAGATGATTCGCGCTCGAGAGGAGACGCGGGGTGGGATGAGCGTATCTTCTTCCGCCTCCTCTCCTTCTTCTTCTGTCTTCCTTTTTGTCCGAAGCTGATGCTCGTGGAAAGAAAAAAACTAATTGCCCGAGAGCGAGTTTGGAAAGGAATCTTAATGAGGGCTTGTTTTGGGCGGAGGATAAATTGTTCGAGTGCTACTTTTTGTGTGTCTGCCGTCTCCCCGTTGTTCCTGGGTTTTGTGCCCTCGTAGTTTGCACTGCTGCCATGTTCCTCGCCACCGACTGTTTTTATTTTTTACTCCTCGTCTCGCGAGCTTTTATTTGAATTTCATTTCTACGGACTTGATCTCAATCAAAAATCTCCGCGATTTTAATTGAGATTCTCGCAATCCTTTTGACACCCTGCAATCCGGAAAACCAACTCGTGGCAATCAGTTTATAAAAAACCAAGAGTCCACCAATCGTCAGCAGTTGGTAAAAAAACCAACTCATGTAATTTATTCGAAAGCGTAGCGAGAAGGAGACGAGTAATTCGCCCGCCAGCCGTTCGTCCACCCAATAACCCTTTGCTCCCCTTCCACGCCCTACGCAGCCATCCCTCGTACGCGACGTGCATCCCGTCAGCATCGGTGGGGAGGAAAGACTCCCAACGCGACGACGGTGGTGGCTTTGATAGCGGCACGTTAAACGAATTGGCTCGTCGCGCGAATAGCTGCACGCGCTCGCTCCAAACGAACTCCTCTGGACTCCGCGCCCTGTGGTATCTCCCATCTCCCGCACCTCTTTTCCTCCCTCCAGCTCGAGGTGCCCGGCCGAGTGGAAAAAAGCCCCAGGATTGTCGGGCAAAGCTGGCAGGATTCTTTTGCGCGCACTAACTGGGGATCGGGTGTAAAAGATCGAGACTCGTGTTTGCGCTCGAGTCGAACAACTTGAGACGAAAACTGTTTTTCGATGACGCGTTTAACTGTCCCTTCTTGGGTGAAATTTCAAGCAACAAGCCAAATTTTTGCCGATCCGAACGAGGGGTGTACTTTTGTGCTCTACATAGCTCACAAGAGCAAAGCTCGTAGGAAAACGCTTGCACGTACGAGGAGGGTATATATCGGGGAAAAAAGTTTTCCTCCTCCCCTCCTATCCCCACATACACAGAGATAGCCGTGTACTTGGAGGAACGGTGACCTAGCCGCCGAGATTTACAGCTTTGCGGGAGTTAAGGTGCGCAGACGGATTAACGCGTGTGTTGGGTGACCCTTTTTCCTCCAGCTGCGACTTTCTTGATATCGCTTTCGGGAGGGGGAAAGAAGAAGAGAACGAATTGTTGCAGCGAAAAAAGGGGATGAAAGTGTACTTACACTCTTGTACCTTTGATGAAAAAATTGTCTCCGATCGTTGCATGTGTGTTTTTGTTGAAAGTAAAAAAAAAAAAAAAAAAATATGTTATAAAAATCGTGTCAGTAAAAAGGGTTGTAATAATCTTTCAAAGACGACGCTCGCAAGCTTTTATTACCAGGGAAGGAGAAGAAGGAGAAGAGAGAGGGGGAGACGACAAAGAGGAGATTCATCAGCAAGAAAATATAAATCTCTTTTCCGTGGAGGGCGCGCGAGTAAAAACGCCAGAGAGAGAGAGAGAGAGAGAAAAAAAAAAAAAAAAAAGAGAGAATCAAAGGAAGGACCAAAAAACGCATGTGCGCCCTCGCCCCATCGTATGGGTATAGGCACTGGTGTGCTTTATCGCGCAGTGGTGCCGACAGCTAATCCAAAGAGAGCCGAGCCACCTACCTCCTCTGTATCTCTCTCTCTCTCTCTCTGCTCCTCGAGAGTAGCGTTGGGTACACGAGGGTACCTCTAATTCCAGAGAGCTCCTTATGAATCGGAGCCGCGCGCAAGAAAGGGAAGGAGATCTCTGTAGAATCAGGCTTCAACGGAAGGGCGGCTATCCGGCTCCTCCATCGAGGATTCATCCTCCAATATATATCCCGGACTGTTGAGGAGCCTCTCGACCGCGAGATTCGATTATTTTCGCAGGGGGGCCGTCGCGAAAGATACGAGCCCCGCCGCTACCAAGGAAGGGGATCCGCACGGATTTTCCGAGAGCACACCCGATCCTTGCGCCAATATAAGGAACAGGGGAGGGAAGGGGGGGGGCTAGCAAATAAATCCGGGCAAAAGGGGTCTCTCCTCTGCAGCTACGCTGCAATCCCGCGCGAGTTATAACGTCCCGTGCACCGAGCCCCCTTTTGCCGGCCTCGAGAGCAATAAAAGCCAGTCCCGGATAATGCTTTTCAATGTTGCGCCGCTCGTGCGCGCTAGAATTTCTCTCCTCTCCTTTTTTCGAGCTTTCGAAATTATTTATGCGGATTGTCTTTTTTTTGCGGACCAACGGCACTTTATTAAAGGGTGGGCGAAGAGTATCCGCACTTCGTGTCGTCTAAAAAAAAAATCAGCCGTAGGAGATGGTTACTTTTCAAAGAGTCGCGATGAAATACCAACATCCACTTGGAGCATATGACAAAGATGTACACGCAGACAGCTGAGCTGTGAAAAGCAATTTCGCCGAGGAGGGTGTCTCACTCGATTACCCCCACGTAAGTGGATCCGCTACAGGTAGTCTTGGCTTGGAAAATTTTTTCCTCGATCCTGTGAACGAAGGAGGACCGGCATGGCAATGATGACTCATAAAATCCCTTCCGAGTGCCGGTGGTAGTCGCGAGATTTCATTTCGGATCGCTTTTCGTTTCTCCTGGGCTCGGGTAATCGGATCCTCGGCGTTTCCGTCGACTCTCGCTCCGTGGAGCTATCCATCGGCTTATCCTCCTCGAGACTCTCTCCACCAGCTCCACGTCTTCGATGTCCGCTTCCCTTTGCGTTGCGCCCCTCCCCGCCACTTTTATCCCACTTTTCGTCAGTGACGACTTTTGTCGCTCTACCTCCCCCCGAGAGGGGCCCTCGGCTGCGAGCAGGTCTTGACGGCTTATTAAAACTTCTTGGACCGAGGGCGTTTAATGAAAGGTGTATTGCTTTCGCGTCGCTTACACGTTGTCGTCGACGGCTCGCAACTCGCTCGCTCGTTCGCGTAATTGTGGCCGTCCCGCTCGTGTATACATGTATACACCCTCCGAGGTTTTAATCAAACACTTTTCGCCCGTGCACTCTCCGAGTTATTACTTTTTCAATTACCGGCCGCCGTGGTCTGTTTATTGTTATTATGTGTACTTTGCTCGCCTCCTTTCGCTTTTTTTGTCATTTGGACAAAAAAAAACAAAAAACCCCCGACTATTTCCACAGTGCGTCATCGGTAAAAATCAAGTTTATCACGATCTTAGGTGTCATTCCCAAGTTCTACGAATCTTTTTAGTTTGACGTTTTAAAAAAAGCTTTTCTATGTCAAAAGAAATTTTCATTGGGGGGGATTAGTGAGAAAAAAGCTCTGTATCGCAAAGCAATAATTCTGTAAAATCTTTGTTCACGGATAATTGTTTCAAGTAACAAAAACTAGAAAAAAAAGTAGTTGTAGCGTACGCAACGTTGCTCCGTTTGTTCTCACCTTTCATGCATATCTTGTTCCTCTTGAAGACGAGTATCGTGTCGCTGAACTTGGTCTCGGGTGGCGCGGTAACGTTGAGCTTGATGGCGACCTTTACCTCGGCGCTCTCGAGGCCCGAACACGGCAGTCTTATCGCAAAGACCTGCTGTTCAACGGGCACGTGGCCCGTCGACGAGACGTTTACCTTTGGAGGCATCAGTGCCATCAGGCTCGAGCCGTAGCCCGTCACGCCCCTCATGTCGTAGTCGATTTTCAACGAGTACGCCAGCTGAAACACACAAGGTTCATTTTCCTGTAGCTTCTTTTTTTTTTGCTTCACACAGTGTCAGCTATGTTTGCTATCTAGTATATCACAATATAGTTATGTTTTGGTGTGGTGGTAATTATTCATTTTCGCATAATAATGAAGAAGAGGATTCGTATAGAGTTTTTACGTCTTTGTTTGTTATACTTTTATCAGGGACTACTCTACATATGATAAAATTGTTTTAATTATCTTTTCGACGCATAAGGTACGCTACCAGCATTCTATTATACAATTGTAATGCAAATTGCTCGCTGAGCCGAAAATAAAATCCTCAAATTCCCGCGCAAGTTGCGGAAACGTTTTCACTCTTAATCCGAAGGAGAGAGAAAAAAAAGCTCGCTTCGTGACATCCGAAAGTTGGCTGGCTGGTGTACACGAGAGAGGTCAGCACCAAGGAAATAAAACGGGGAAAAGAAAGAACGGAAGAGGCAAAAAAAAAAAAAAAAACAAAGTACAAAACAAAAGAGCGAGACAACGGCGGTGGAGAGTCGTCGTGTACAAGCCGCCCGGACAAATTCAATTAATTACGAGAGGGAGGTAAATTAATCCCAGAGCCCTCGCTGCCGGTACACGTTGCTCGTGGGTACACCTATACCCCGCTCACACGACCCTCCGAGCAGGTGGTCTCTCCTTTCACGCGTCGCTTTTTCATTAAGACGCGCGAGAAGTCAAGCCTTATCGCCTCCACTGTTACACACACGCTCCGAGGGATCGACGTGGTACTTACGGACGCGCGAACGTCGCAAAGCAGTTTGCAAAGCTAAAGTTACCAAACGAGGTTACCTCGGAATATATACCTACGGTGAATGCGGTGGACTGAATGTCGTAGCTGTATTCCCGGTGTTTAATTTTCCCCGCCTTCCACGTATTTTAGATGACGAGACGAGAGAACAATAAATCCATAGTTTACCCGAACGCCCGAATAAACACGTTGGGTGGTTCCTGCGAGCCCCAAGGCTTAAATGCCCGATTTTTTCCATAATGTCCACTCCGAGATTCGCGTAATAGCGCAAAAATGTTTGTTCAAGCCGTGTCTCTCTCTGCTACTCTGCAGCAGCGCACACCCCATGATTCGGGGGGGTTGGCTACGCGAGCATATTTCCCCCCTCCCCTTGCTCTTCGCTTCCTCGGCACTGAAAGCTCCGCGCTCTGTTTGCAGAACAAACTTTGCCTCCCTGCACATATATACACCTACACCCCCTCCCACCCGATCTCCATTCATCTGGCCTCTCTGTCCCGCTTTTCCCTTTCTTGGGCTTTGCGCTTTTCCTCTCGTTCGATGTATTAAAAGCTCTGAATTCGCCGGGGTTAACGAATCTTTCTCTCTATTTTTTTTTTCCTCCTCCTCCGCTACTGCTTCCCTTCTTTTTTTTGCGAAGCTTTCGGTTTTTTTGTTTTATTTTTCTTCTCTCCGGTGTTCGTTTTTACAAGCACCGCGCCGAGAGGATCAATTCACTTACATGCACCGAAGCGGCTTCGTTGGTTCTTTTTTTTTTTTTTTTTTTTTTCCTTCTTTTTCCATTATCATTACTTTTTATGTATACACCAGAGCTTTTACGCGCTCGCTCGCTGCTGAGTCTGCACTAATAATCAAATTACTGGATTAATAACCGTTTCGTTTCGATGTACCACATATTATAATGCGTTTACGTTGTTCAATCATCGTTTTTATTTTCTCGGATGGTATATGTATATTCTTTTCGGCGAATCTCGCAAAATCTCCCATGGCCGAGGAATTTTCATATCCGCTTGACCCCCATTCGACTATTGGGTTTCACCCCACGAACGATTTCCTTCCAGAGTAAACGATCGCAATAATTTATCGAGCCCCTGGAAAAAAAAAAAAAAAAAAAAAAACAAACAAGACGAGTAAAGGCTCATCGATACACGAATCGGCTTTCCGATCGAGTCATCTCGGCTGAGCAGTTTTTGAAAGAGTCGGAGTCAGAGGCCCGAAAAAAATGCGACCTATGCCCGCACGACCGCACTTTAGATACAGGGGAAAAAAAAAATCAAATTAACCGCAACCCCTCGGCCGCGGAACCCCCTTCTCCTCGAGGCTGACACATCGTTTCCCTCCACCACCGCACATTCATACATGTATGGATGAAAAAAAAAAAAACAAACCCCGTGTGGAGAGGGGTGGGGCAGAGGAGATGGATTGATAGCCGAGCCGCAGAGCAGCATCAGCAGCCACCTCCATCTCCCGCATATATGGAGCAGTAGTAGGGAGGAGGGAATAAAAGGGGAGAGGGGGACAACTCGCGTGTCACGTGCCTCCTCGCCACGCGTGCATCACCAGAGAGACCGCGTTCCTTCCCCCATCGGCACGCAATAACGAAATGCCATTAGACTCTTTTCTTTCCTTTTTTTTTCTCTCTCCCTCCTCCTCCTCCTTCTCACCCACGGTGTCGTCCCTTTGGCGGTGGTGCTAAAGTTACGAGTTTAGATTCGATCCAAGGCATCCGAGGGATTTTCCACGGCTGTAGCCAGTCAACAGTGGCGACTCGTCGCCTCCCCATCCCCAAAGAGAGAGAGAGAGAGAAATTAAATTCGAGTCTTTGACGGAAGCGTTTCTCGCGCCGGCGTGTAGAGATCCGCCACCGAGATTGGCTTGCCGGGAATTCGTTAACGGTCCTTCGGAATCGCACCCTCCCTCCCTCGTAGCTTTTTTCGTTCGCGTCCTTTTTAGCGGATTGCTCGTTACTCTCCCTCGCCCTCTGTTTTCCCGATAAGACGTCGATCAGCCGTCCTCTGACAGACGCTTATTGGCCTTCCGTGCCCCCTCTCTCTCCTTCACGCGCAGCCTGTCAAAGGACTCTAATGGATTTTCAATTGAAACGCTGCAGTTCCGCGGTTTTCGCTTGTCACCTATGGCTCTTTGTTTTTTTTTTTTTTTTTNTTTTTTTTTTTTTTTTTTTTTTTTTTTTTTTTTTTTTTTTTTTTTTTTTTTTTTATACTTCATTTCATTTCGTGAACACTGTGGGTTACTCCGGTTACTCGGGGCTTCATTAGAATCCTAGACCGTACAAGGCCCCGGAATTCCGAGTATTTTGATTTGGGTTACATGTCGGCGAGTAAAGTGCACACACACTGTAATATTATCGGGTTTAATTTCAGTGCGATGTGCGTCCCTAAATGAATATTTGGAGAATCCGAGTGCAGGGGCTATACATGGTCCCGTGGTCTCGTTGAATTTAATTTCGATTGTCCCCGTGTGTGTTCCTCCGTTTAATTCATCCGAAAACACGTGCGACGTCTGGCGCGTGACGATCGATGTTTCCCGTGCGGCTTGTTACTCAAAATACCATACGTGTATGGATACACCTGGTCATATTTTTAATAAGGACCAAGATGTTTTCGTACCACTGAGAGAGAGAGAGAGTCACGCAGTTCGAGGGGAGCAATCATCGTAATGTGTGTACGTACGCATCCACTTTCTCTCGGGGAGCTTCACCGAAAGAACTCCTTTTCGGCAAACAATGACGTTCCTGAGACCATTACTCCGCGGTTTGATATATTTGAGCGAAAGGGGGAGTACCTCGGGCCGTTCGCGTGATCCCGAGTGTTCGGTAATAATGTTACTGGCGATCCGGTCGCGTGCCTCGACGGTTGGAGCGAAGAATCCGTTACTCATCGAGTCATCCGTCGGCCATTATAACCGGCCGCGGCCGTGGTAATGGATATTGGAAGGTCCCGAAGATTTTTGCATGATAATGAACCAGCGAACAAGCGAAGCCAAACGAAGCCGATATCGAACGATTCGAGGCGGGGAGAATATATTTCGCTCTGGTTAGAAACAATGGCCGCGTTAATTGCCAAGCCCAGGGGCCGTCGCTGTTGTTTCTGAAGTTGAATGGGGATGTTTTGCCGGCACGCGGCGTCATCCCATTTTGCACGGGTATTCTTATCAGTTGTGAGTCGCTTCTGTCGAATTTATGCTCATTGTGCGTTTGCATACGGTAAAAAATCGATTTCCCGTCGGAGCGAGCGCGCCATAGACGTCCGCGATTTTCACTCAATAACAACGACGAGTGTACACATGTATAGATACGAGAAAGTTTTTTCGCATTGAACGCCAGCTAAAAGCTAAAAACAAACCACAACAGCGTCGTTACCGTGAGAAAACTGTCGATAAAGTGCACGCAGTCCTTTTCACTTATTACGTGCGGAGAAAAGGTAATTTTTTTCTTTTTTTCAATTAAAAAACTTCAGCTCGAATAAACCGACTCTGGCTGTAAAAAAAAATAAACAAACGGCGATTGATGAATAAAAACAATCGGTAAAGCTTCACTCCGGCAAACGCACACCCTACATCGTTTTACATGAATCGCAACCGAGTTCAATCGATTTCCACGACCATACCGCGGATTTCCAAAAAAATTCTCCCCCCCCCCCCCTAGAAGCACTTTATCCTTTCCCCCTCAACCCCTGGAGTGCAGGTGGTCAAACACCATTTATTAAGATAACAATTTGAGGGCCGTTCGCGGGTGTAAATGGCACTTTTTCACCGCCCAGGTGCACACGAGCCCTCTCGAGCACAAACTCGAGCCAAAAGGAGAGAAAAAAAAAAAAATGGCAAAGAGATAGAAAACAAGGAAGCCCGCGAAAATCAGCTCAGAGCACGCGTATACGTTATACACATGGAAAGGCTAGACGACGACGCCTTTAATCCCCAATATATTAGTCCTCAGCCGCGTTCAAAGGTATATACGGGGCGGCCTCCCCAAAGCCGTTTAATTATTAGCTGTGGGGCTGTAGGGCGCAGATAGAGAGAGGAGCCTGGCTGCACGCGAGAATCGAGGGACCGGCTTGTTTGCACCCTCGGCGTTAACGCGCCATACGTATATACACATATACCCACCTCTGTAGCTTGGCTCGACAATATACACACGTATATACGTATATACGTGTACACGGGGGATGCAAACTTGACTATACTCTCGCGCGTCTGTCCGTTG